TGATCACTCCACTCCTTTTTCAGTAAATTCTTTCTCATTTAAACACATTACTATATCAGTTACAACATGAGTTACTTCGCTTTGTGTAATGTTGTAGTTTATTTAGATAATAGATTTATTATAAGTAAATTAGATTGTGTTGCTTTTTATGGAGAAACATATCGAAATAAAACTTTTAACGATTGCCTGCTCCACATTAGCGATAAACATTTTTATAATCCATATTTTTGATCTGAGCAGCGTGATCATATTTCTGACCATATTGATATTATTTTTGCTTGGCTCGAGATCCATCTTGCAAAATCCAAGTGCTTCGTCTTACAATTTTTGCAACACGATGCGATATTAAGTGACGTGATTTCCGGCCACCTATTACGTTAACATTTTGTTTAACTTATTCTTGATTTTAAAGTAAAAATAAAATTGTATATCGTCTCAGATTATAACAGAAATATCTTTTTTTTGAAAGGCGACAAAATAAAAAAATGTAATAAAATAAAAAATTGTAATTTTCCTCGAGTGCCATGAGAAACAAGCAGCTGCAAAGGTGGTCAAGGTTTGCCTTATGTTTCATGAACGGCGCTTTGCATCTTAACGTGCACGCGGGGAGGACAGATGACCTAAAAATTGACGTAAATAGAAATAAATTTTTGGGATCTCTTTTTTCGTTACGCGATATCGAGTAAACTCGATTCGTTCATCGCTATGTTCTGTGACCATATAATAGCAAATCGTTTCTCGTGTCAGCACGGCGTCGCCTATAACCTACTTAAACGCTTCGCTCTCTCTTAACGTGACGTCACTGAGTGCCATCGCCATCGATTAAATGAGATCCTCAGAATCGTTTTTTAGGTATGTATACAGAGAAGCTATTCTAACAGATATATACCTTATATATTAAATTTAAATCAATATTATTAAGATGCACAATATAAATTTATTTATTGAGTATTTATTTATTGAATTATTTTAATTACCTTAATTTCTGTTAAATTAATTAATATTTCGTCACAATGCGTATGCATATAATTCTCTATGACGCGTATAAAGAGAATAAAGTTTCCGATATCTTAAAAAAAATTTAATCTTCTGACGCATAGAATTTATTTCATATTTGTATCAAAAAATTTCAATGTATCGACTTTATTCACTGCGCATTTTATTTACTCTAGCTAGTGTATTTCAGTCACATATATCGCGTTAATATTTTAATATAAATAATAAATTCGTGATGAATCTGCGATTCGTTGTACGTATATGCTTGCATGTCGAAAGTATTTAATACAAGCAATTTTATCAGTTATTACATAGATATTCGTTATCAAAAATTGTTTGACAGTAACGTTACATGTTTTTTACAGTAATTGTAGAAAAAAACTTATCTCGCAAATATGTAACCGCTCTTGCGTCAATACCCTAATAACATTCGCGACAAAGAGCCGAATCACTTGATGTCGCAATTAAATACGCATAGTGAGAAAATCTAGCGTGCACAAAACGCTATCACTGCTGTTTATTACGATCGGTTGCAAAACAATCGAAAAAGAGATGTACAGATGCTGCATTAATTTACTGCGTATTTAAGTAGTATCTAGATCTAGATAATAATAAAGCAATGCACGCATGCGATAAGACTGTGTCATATTACTGCAGGTGTACATTGCTTGATATTCCGTTATCAAAGTGAAATTACCACCTTGTTGCTGCTTAAATGTACTAAAGCCAACGTTCAATCTTGTGTTCAGTCAATTTATATCGTAATCCGAAAACTATACGCTTAAACTTACTTCCCTCCTTGAATTAATCAATGTAAAGCTGATACTTTCGAGCACTTCTAATATCGTCTTGGGAATTGAAACGTAATTTTCTTTGATAATCTTTCTTTATATCAAAAAAATGTATTCGTTTTTTGTATTATTTCATCAAATCAAAGCAAAATTATAAAATTAAATTTCAACATTGAAGAAAAATTTATAACATTGAATATAGTATTAATACATATGAAGTCATTAATAATTCTACGTATATATGATCTAAGTTTATGATGAAATAATAGAATAGTAAAGAATATTCATAAAAATTGATATTGCAAATGTTAAAGATTGATCTTTCGAATATCACATACTGCAAAAATATGCAATATAAAAGAAAAATTTAAACATATTCTGCAGTGTGATACGCATGTAAGAAAATATACAAGAATGTGTTTCTATCAGAGAAAGAATACTATAAAATTCTGTGGACATCGCGTACGCGATCTAATATGATCAGATAAAAGAGCTTCCTGATTCTCGAATTTCTCTACTTTGAATTCCACACCACGTAGGATATACGCGCGCGATCTGCTACATATAAATATATTTGAATTAGATATTTTATATCATATTTTTCAAGGCTGAAACTCCTTGGTATAATATTATATTTTGCAATTTGAAATAAATACGAAGCGATATTCTTAATATTTTAATCATGTATATTAAAATTTTAGGATTCAAATACAGAATACTATCTATCGCGTGTATCGCGAAAATACAGAGTTTGCATTTTATACTTTTACCGGAATTAAAAATTTTCGATTTGGTTTTCATGTATTATTACAAAATCGACAAAATTTACAAGATTATTTTCAAAGGTAAATTATTATTTTTTTTAGAATAACGAAAAAGAGATAATTGGAGATTAAGTTTTCTTTTATATATATGTGCTTTTCTTTAACTTTTCTTTTATACGTGCTTTTTCATACAAACAGGAAGAAGTTGGTCATGAGCGTGAAAGAAATGATTTCCACGTACATAACACATGTCAATGTGTCTACCCGCATATTCACACGCGTCCTTTCCGAAACAAAAGCCGCGTGTATATTGCAGATACTCAATGCTACTGTGCGGTATAAATGGTATGTGCAAACGTGACAGTTATCGTTTGCTATTATGTAGTATTATATAAAGCATAAGTATATTGTTCGTCGTATTGTTTGTGTGTGAGGTCTCTATTTGTTTCTACGAATTATCCTTTTTTTCGTGCACACGAAGAAAATTTTATAGTACGAATTACATGAAGAATATATTCTCTTTTACAACATTTATTGTAAAGCTGGAATATAATGACATTACGATATTTATTACTATAAAAATTGTAAATTATGCATTTGTTCTATTGTTTGTTACTAATTATGCATTTATTGGTGCGTCAAGATATTTGAATAATTGCAATACTCTATTGTAAAATATAATACGTTTATAGTATTATTGAATAAAAATATCGGGTGTTTTTTTATATAAATATATTCCAGTTAATATATTGCACGATTACAAAAATTATATTGTAATTTTTACTATAATATTTTCTTCGTCCAAAATCTTTAACAATATTATGGCTCAGAATTTTATCAATGAAATAAAATTTATTTATTTTTATTTAAAATTTTTTACTTGCTGGGTAAAACTGATTTATATATGTATTTCAAATTTTAATCTGGTTATTAGCTGCTAAAAATTTTTAATTTATTTTAATTGTGTGTGTGTGTGTGTATATGTATGCATATATGATGTTAATATTGGGGGTGGTGAGTGCGTCTGTATGTCGTGTGTGCGCGTAAACAATCTGGGATTTTATTAATTAGATAAAATCTGCTTTGATTCTAAATTTTATCTAAATAAAATCACTTAAAGGAAGCAGTTAAAAACTTATAGAAGAACAGTTAAACCATCAAATCATCCCATCATATATGATCAATATGTGCGATACGATACAATACGACGTGATATGATATCACAAAGAAAATAGAGCTGGATCAGAATCAACGATGTGTTTTGTAGTTCATCACACATCTTATCGGTGACTCATTATCTTTGTTAGCAATAACGTTGCATAATAGAAGATAAATAAAAAAAATAATAATCTATTGCTGTTATTTTTATTACATTATCAGAAATACTGATAATCCCATGAAAATTATCTCTACAATAGCCTTTGTGTTTAAAATAACATTAAAGTTATAATTAAAATTTTAATCAGAAATTTTATTTATATTATTTGTGAAGATTATTTCTTTTCAAAGATTTTATTACTTTTTTATTATTTGCTACTTATAATTAATATACAATAAAAATAATATTAAATTAACATTGTGGTGAATATTGTATAAATTATACCGCTTATCAAAGACGGTTCGTCTGATACAAATTGCGCGAATTGGATGCATGCACATCCGATGTTTGCTATCTTATTGCTAATTAACCCTACAAAGAGCACACAAAGAGCACGCAAAGAGCAATGAAAAGGGAAGAAAGCAAAGCCCAAAGTATGTTGTTTTGTTCGTTTTTGTTCCAACCCTATTTTTTATTTATCTAAATTATCAAATTTTATTCATGTTATAAAATTAGATTTTTATTGTTATTGTTTAATAAATTATGAATGTTGTTACATTGTAAAGAATATTTTTGTTATAATCAGTCCAAATTAAGTATTTATAATAGTCTCAAATATGTGATAAAGCACCCGCCTCTTGTCCATCATGGGATTATGGGACAACGCGAGGCATGATTAACTCTGATCGACTTTGCATTGATCCGACGAAAATTTTATTCGTTGTTTATTCTAATGGAGTTTGATGAGTACAATCTTGAGAGAGAGAGAGAGAGAGAGAGAGAGAGAGAGAGAGAGATGCTAAATTCTCTCTCTTATATTTACTTGAATATAAATTTGTTATAGGCTTTTAAAAAGCTAAAAAATGTGTCTAAAATGAATAAAAAAAAATTCTTAAGAGCACAAAAATAGATATATTATATTTATGACGAGATCGATGAGACTGTACGTCAAAATGACATTAAAACAATGCAGGATAAAAGTTGACAACAACATACACAGCACGGATTATTTTTCTTTTGAGATATATAGAGAGGGCACATTCTCTCTCTCTCTCTCTCTCTAAGTAATATCTAATATAGAATTAAAAAAGTCGCGCAATTCCCTTATATTGCAGAGATTATAATACTTACGAATTTTGGACTGTGGCGAATGCGCGCTGGAACATGAAGAGCGAATGACAAAACCGTGAAAATGTGACGCATTCACCAAGACGCGTACCGGCTGACAGGTCATCCGTTGAATCAATTCCGCGACATCGTGGAATTCGTATTGTTCGTTTTGTCGTCACGTTTTCTGGATCATAGATATGAGACGAAAGTCACGCAACGCGTACGTGATACACATGCAGCTCAGTCTTTTATTTACGTATTTCGCGTTACCTACCGTACACCTCGCGCGGAACGTACGGCATAAACTGAACGCTAGCTAGGCCCTAGACTCTAGACCGCGACCGCGAGCCGCAAGCGCGAGCTCGCTTTTGCGCTACTCCCACTCCCACCTACGCGCGCATGCTCAGTAATTTGTTGACGCATGCTGGCTAGCCAATTGGCAAATTGCGCGGTATAATTTTAAAAATGAAATCCCACGTGCGTTTCCTTGAAGGATAAACCCATAGCAGTCAGTAATTGGGAAAATAAGCGGTGCGAATCAATACGGTTTCTTTTTTAGGCAGATTTAATTATCACGGAAGAGTAGGAATCCTGGTAATTTACTACATTACGTGAGCACATTACAAGAAAATTATAAGAATTATAAAATTATATAATTCATATTTATAGACAAAAACGATTATTTTATTTATGTAAGAGTTGATGAGTTAATTAAAAATAAAAAATAAAAATTTTTATAATCCTGCTTTGGTTATTGCGTATGATTTATGAACTATAATGGGGACATTTTAGTCACGCAAAAAATAGTTTCAAGTTAATGTATTAGTTATATGTTATACTGTAGAGAAAATTATTGTGCATAATTGCATCTCGTGCCTTTGCAAGATTAATGCAATAATAGTAATTACCATAATCCTGGATATTGAGGTTTGACAATGTAAGATTCGATAGACCGCACATGCCTTCGAAGATCTCTTGAGAAAAAAGATAAATTTAGAAAAATCTCCAGAGTTTTTGTTGTCGTCATTTATTTTTGAAAATAAATTCTTAATATTCACGTCTTGTATGTGATACTATTCCGAAATTATGATTATTTCAACGTGATTAGATCAAACTCTATTATTTTCCATAGTTCCTCATTATTTTGTAATGATAATAATATTTATAATATTATGCATAATTTTATGTAATTTATGAACAACTATTAATCTTTTATTTTTAAGAAAGATATAAAATACTAGTTTTATTCTTTTGCTGTAGCTAACAAGAATTTTTTGAAGTCTAACACTTGGCTAATGCCTCCTGTATCTATGCAACCCAATCCTGCTTCGTGTATAAACGAATCATTTGGCAGTTGTGTAAATGTGTAAAGAGAAAAATTTCATTATATTTTATTATAATTATTATAAATAATTTATTATTAAATGTGGCAATTGCCTGTAAAATCTTTTAAAATTTTCTAAATGTATAAATATAAAAAAAGATATTGTACATTTATTAAATTTTAATACTTGGGCAGCAAAACAATACTGTTTATAGATAATTTAGATATCTATTTTACCATGAAATTGTAAGAAACGATTATATAGCTACTTTTATCACAAACGGCGCTGCAGAAAGTGATCTATAGAGATAATCCCCATAAAAATTTTCTATACTTAAATTGTATTGCAATGTATTGTAATATACAATATATTTCTAAGTACAACATATGTACAATATATTTTTATGTATAACATATTACAATATATTTGATTAAAAATATGATGTACAATGGTTACAAATGTGATATCATAAAATGACTTTAAATAATTATATGTATATAATAAAGACATATTGAGAATACATATGTATGTATGTTTATTTTAAATTATATAAGATAAGATTCATTAAAAAACAAATAACACTTTAATGGAAAGATATTAATTGCATGTGTTTGCAATCAATATCAAAATATAATTTAACTTTCATTTTTCTACAATTTTTATTTTATAATACTTTTTGATAAATCTAATAATTTTAGTGTTGTTTTAAGTTTTTTCGTTGGGGACACCCTGTATAATAATAATAGTGTTTCGAGTTTATTGTGGTTATGTAAAAACCATTTCGTTTCGCCTGATGATGTTTGCGAATTCCGTTTTATTACGACCTCGAAGAAACTAGTCACAAGGATAACAAGATTGATAAGATTAGCATGTTTTAATAAAAAATTCCGGAAGATTTGATGACTAACAAACCGGCTTGATTTCTTGACAAAATCTGCGACGAAGTGATAGTTTTTAGATTGAAATATCTGCTGCGTTATAAAGACGATAGGGTCAGTCATTCATAAATATCTGATGATAGATGGCTGCCATGGAATACTTCTGAGGAATGATTAGTTCAACATTTTATAGATGCTTAAAATCGCTTCACCAATTTTGTTATTTGCGAATAATTTATTTATTTATTTATTTTTTTTTAAGTCATAAGCGCGCGTTAATTGTACTGATTTTTATCCTTTCTTAAGATAGTTTCGGTTTTTTATTTCTGTATGAATAATTTTCTATATGATTAGTTTCGACATTGAGAAATCACGTCAAGATAACCATTTTTGTCTTTTATAGATACTTAACATTTGGCAATTATGCCAATGATAGTATATTTAATAATCAAGGTTCTTATAAAAAATAAAACGAAAAATATAAATCAATTTATAAAAATAAATTTTGTAAACTTTTAACCGAAATTAATCTAATATAAATTTTAGAATAATGGTGCCGCGTAATTAATATAGTGCGTAGAAATTTTGCATAATTAAATTATATATTTTAATTAGAGAGAGAGAGAGAGAGAGAGAGAGAAATGTATAATTCTCTACAGTTTTATAACGTTATGTAAGCTATATAAATATAGAGCAATTTTAGTAAATTTATCTCTCCATTACGGTGTTGTTTTGGAATGATTCACTGCCGCATTGATAGCACGCAATCTCAGCACGGACATTGATTGGCACCGTTTTATTTGATCAAAAATAAGCTTATATCATATGGTAGTTTACAAAATGAAGATTAATTCAAGCAATTCTGACATTATAGCAATCTGTTATCGCACATAATTAAGCTGTCATAGCGGCATTTATGGTAGATATGTAATATTCACACCTTTGTCTAATTCAAAGAGAGAATTGATTATGCATACTTTCTCACTGTCGAATACAAACTATGATTGTCTACACAAAATATCGTAAAGCTAACTTAAAGTAATATTTATTCGTTACTAAAATATCCAATGTAATAAATATGTGTACGGTCCAATGTAATAAATAATACAAAACATAATGAATCTAAAAATCAAATTAAATTGATCCAAAACATAATCATGATCAATCGATAATTATGATGCGTGAAAATGATTGATGTCAGATAATAAATTTAACTGCACTCATTCACAAAGATCGAAACTGGATCCAAGTTTCATTCGGAAAATTCTGACGTAAGAATAGCCGAACATAAGTTTCATTCAGAAACAATTTGCTTGAGTAATGGCCACCGATAAAGACGTAATAATACACGAGCGCGTAATATTGCCGAAGAAAGAACAAAGACTTCAACTGTGTTTTATCTTCGTTTTTGCTTCGGCGTCCTATGGTTCCTGTCGTTCCTCGGGCGCTCGTTCGCGAGCAAGCCGTTGCAATCGCTTCGATTGTTTCTGACTGTGCTGTGAGAAATTCGTCTCCTCTTTTCGTGCTAGAAAAAGAAAGACGCCTGGCCTTCTATGTTTAGACATAAGGCATTTATTCTTAAGCAAGGTCGATGTTGCAATGCCGACACGTCTTCGATCTTTCTCTCTTCGTATGAATTATCGACTAATGAGGGATTTCCAAATAAACGGAGCTCCGCTTTTAAAATAAAAAAAAGTTTTTTTTTTAAATTTATTTTGTATAAATATATTCTCTACATATATCGTTTATCAGAAACGATTTCAAATAAAGTGTGAATAAACATTCAAATTGTATTTTATTTAATAATCAAAATTTTTTAAAACATTTTCTTTACTGATTGATTTTTTAGGCTCGTGGCTCAATGTGTGCTATTTTCGTCGCAGTCATTGATGCAATCCAGTACCTATGATCAAAAATATGTAAATAGGAGAAGTTGCAGTTACGTATCGACAAAAAAAGAGATAGAGAGAGAGAAAGAGAGAAAACATGATCGGGCATTAAAGTTTCCCATATAGCTTCCGTTAATATGTCTCCTCCTTCGATTAATCGTTTTTAAATTGTAATTTTATAACTCAGACATCTTTATTAATTTTACTGCTTTGCTTTTGCAATTTGCCTTTATCTGTGTTATAACACACAAGAACATAATTTTTAAATTATCAATATTTCATTTTTAGATTCTTCGATGTTTTCGAGTTGATTTTTCTTTTCTAATAATTTTATTTCGAAAAATTGTAATATAAATATATTTTTCATGCTAATTTATATTAACTTTATACAATTATCAAATTGTCTAGCTAAACGATTCAAACGCTATTTGATAAATATAATTTATTTCAAGAGAATCTGTGTTGCATTTGTTATTTATTAAAACAAATTAATTTATTATCTATTTATATTTTTAAGCAAAAAAGGTTTGTAAAGCATGAAACATATGTAGATTTAATGCAATCGAGTTTATCGGGATGGTAACGAAAGTGTATACGCGATCATGCGGTGTGCGTTTGTTTCGCAAGTTTTTCTTAAGGAATAATTTATCGTAGAATCTTTTAGAATTATGCAAATCTTATCGGGAATACCTGAAATAATAGTGGCTATTTTTAACAGAGACAATTTTATCTTCGAAATCTATCCAAAGTACGGATATCCGATTGTATTATTCGTGAATTTTAGTGAAATCTTCGCAGCGCTCGAGTTAAATTAGAATTGTTTTAGAAATTCAAAGAAATATCTAGATTTCAAAATCGTAAAATGATATTTTATCATCGACGAAACTTTCTAAATAGTGATGCACGTTCGAAGACGTTATCATTATTGACCATTTGAATTTTACCTGCATTGCGCGTTATATTTTATGAACTATGAACTTTTGAGGATATCGCGCGTAAGCAAGTAATACCAACGAATTTCTGGATTATTGTGCAATCGATCCATAATTTAGGCGTCCCACTGAAAGGTCAAGTGGACAGATACGTTTTGGCAGAAGATTCTATTTGGAGCCGGACAACTCTATTTCTCTCGCTTCCTCTTTCTTTCTCCTTGTCCTTCCTCCCGGCGTGGCTAAACGAAACCCAGGCTTTTTCTCGTTTTCGAGTACCATTACGATCAGGGAAAGTGGGGTCTACGGTTTTGTATAAA